GCAGGCTTCCTGATATGCTCTGAAATAATCAGGAATGCCTCTTTGCTGAGCTTCTTCCTATGTAGGATGCAGCAGTTTAGCACAGTGACTAAAGCCTCATTTGCACTACCAGAATTTTTAATTGAATTTGCCAAATCCCTCCATGTATTCACACTAATTTCTTCTTCACACTGGTTTCTTCTAACCAAAACCTGAATTTATGTTAGTCAGGTTGTATCACCTCCCTAAATGACACAAGTTTGTATTTTGGGTGCTCCTGTGTGGAGCCAGGGGTTGGACTCGATCCTTTGGATCCCTTCCAGCTTAGGATATTCTATGATTCTGTGATTGTATGACATAACATTTACAGAGGGTGCACAGAAATTTCATGCATGTTCAATGCCTTCTCATGTAATTTAGGGACTTTAGGTCCCCTCACACTACTCCATAAATATTGTCAAACAGACTTGCCTCACCATTTGATACATTCTTTATCTTCAAGTAGGCTTTTGCTTACGAAAGAAGTGATTTGAGCCCTGTTCATGATCGATCTATCTTGAACAAGAACTTACATGGAATGGAACTGCTGTCTTTTTAGACATTTGCTTGTGTGCAAGCAAATCAACATATACAAACTTAAATGGACTGTGTGGCCTTTAGCAGTAACACCTCTAATTTAGGAAGGAGAGAACGATGTATGGTGGATCTGGTGCACTGACTTCTAGCAACCTTTACCAGAATATGGACAGGAACTTCCAAGATTTGCTGTGGGGAGACTGAAAAAAAAAAAAAAAAAAAAAAAAAAGAAGAAACAAAAATGTTGTAACTTGCTTGAGATTAACTGCAGTTGTCGCTAGTTGTGCAAGTATGCAAACAAGAGAAGTACTGTAGACTGGAAATTTCCAGAATTATATGTTTCCTGGTGCAGTCATTTCTCATTGCTTGTGCTGTGTGTTGTTGCTGTGCTGGCAGGCTGCCTGGAGCACTGCTTCAGTGAGTGCAGGAAATAGGGCTGGGCAAAAGGAGGCCCAGAGAGCGTAATGATAGAGGGGCAGAATTACAGGATCCCAAAAGTTATTGCCGTCTCGCTCCAATTTATAGGAGGGAGATGAGGTTCTTTTAATATCTGTGTACCTGGCGTGAGATTAAGAAACAACGGTTCATATGTTAGTCCATCCAGTTTATTACAAATCCTAATCAGGGAGACGGGGAAGGGAAGGAGGGCAATAGAAAAGATAGGAAAGAAGCAAGAATTGCGTAAAGCGGGGATACTCACCACCAGGATCCAGCAGCGGTCCTGTTGCGTGACGTTTGGAAGGTCCGAGGCAGAAGCAGCGGGGGAGGGGGGGGAGGGAAGGAGCAGCGTGGCTGGACTTGGGCAGCAAGCAGGTAGCAGGAGGCAGTCGCGGAGTCAATGCGGGAGGAAGCAGCAGCGCTCAGGCAGCAGGCCCAGAGTTCTTCAGGATGCAAGAATTCCGTAGTGTGAGGAATCTGATGGCAGACACCTCTTCTTCTACTTCAGCACACAGGCATCACTTCGTGAGGAATCTGAAGTCAGACACCTATCCTCATGGTTTTCGATTCCTCTTTTATTCTACTTGTTCTCCTGCCTACCTGACATCCCTGGACGCTTGAGCAAGAGTCATGTGAGTACCCCCTGAGATGGCCATCATCCTGAGATAAGTCCACAAGAAGACAGCTTCACAGCTATTAAGCTGCAGCTCATCTCTCCTTGCCCCTGGCCTTGTCCATCTGTGTCCCCCAAACAAAGGATTTCACAACCCTTGCCCGGGATTTGTCCATCAAAGTTCTCCTGAGAAAGGATTTCTCAACCCTTGCCCAGGACTTGTCCATCAAAGTTCTCCAGGCAAAGGATTTCTCAGGACTTGCCTGGACTTGAACAAGTCCATCTGTGTCCCCCTGAAGCTTTGAGACACTGATGTACAGAATAACATCTTACAATCGCTGTGTGGCTGTTAATAGGTTCTAGATCAAGCCGTGCACACCAGGTGAGATTCTGCCTCTAACAAAATTCTCACTTCTTTGCTGCACTCAGAATATCTCTATAGAGGGGGCACTACTCAGGCCCTGGTCCTGCAACTACAAGGTGTCTGCAGATCATTGAGAACAGCAGAGACTCTGTAAACAAATACATTGGCACCAGTCTCCCATTTTCTTGTGTTTGTGCAGCTCATGAATGAAGTCCAATCTTAAAAACTGGCCTAGAGGACGGGAAGCCTGGCCTGTGTATAATGTCATTTTTTAAAATGTATTTCTTTAGGACAAAAGGAGCGCATTACTGAGGTCAGATTCGAGTTCATTTGCAAGTATACAGCTTGCAGGTGTGAACAGAGTTTAGCCTAAAATAACTGGAGGCAAAAGGACAAAAAAAAGGGCTTAAAAGTGTGATGTCAGCACAAGATAATGTGCCTCTGGGGCACTGGTTTTCTAAAGCCAAATCAGTATAGCTCATTACTGTACCTGTGCACAGTGTCACAAATGGCATTTTGATGAACACATTTTGTCTTTCCATCATGCTTGCTAGTTAAAATTTCTGTGCCCTAATTGCTGAACCATGAGCACTGTGCCAAGGAAGAGGAAAGCAGCAGATTCCCTTTATCCAGAGCAGGTAGTCTGTGCCAAGCTCTCAGTCAGTCATTTACAACCTTCTTCCATTTAAGCCCCTGCAAGTTCTCCTATGGAGGTACAGGACTTTGTATAGATGCCTTTTCCCCTGCAGTGATAACCAATGCTGCTTCCTTTCCCTTTGAGGCTACTGACTGAGAGGTCTACTACTTTCAACTTAGAGGTTCCATTTTTTAAAATTAGTCTCCCAAGCAATTTAATTCTGTGCATTCACATCTTTACTTCCTCTTTAAAACAAACAAACAACAACAAAAAAAAACAACCAGTCACTTTCTTATTATACCTCAGTTCAGTCCCTAAAAATACCGATGTTACTATTGCAGTGTACTGAATAACTGATACATCAGGGTAGGAAGTGGCCCTTGTGTCTAGATCAGCCAGCAGTGTGTGACAACAAAATGCATTGCAAAGCACACCACAAGTTCTGGCTCCCGTGAATTCACTTTTGTGCCTTGGCATAGGACAAAATCCAGCTGGGCATCTGCACTTCTTTCCCATAAAAGGTGTTTCTAAGTGTTGGGGGACAAAAAAATACTGGAAGCTGGAAGCTGTTGCATATGCCTTACATTGAGACTCAGAGAGTTAATGGCAGAGGATGTAGTCCTACACGCTGGCATTGCACTGTCCTTCCAGAGACTGAGAGGGTTATGAGCCTTTTATGCTCCACTCTGATTGTGGGCTTTAGTGATCAGAGTAATAAATCAGTTTGCTAAGGAGTTATGTTGTGGCACAGTTTTCTCATATTTTTCATCTGTTCAGCTGTGTTCACAGTTCCCTCTGCTGGAGTTGTTAGGGGAAGTGCAAAAGGTCCCAAGTTGTTAGGAAAATTCCCAAATATGATTAGTAGCATCAATGGACCAAGGAGATACTGAAAATTCACTTCAGTCTCACTCTTTCTCAAAGGAGAAGAAGGAGTATGAGAAACAGAATGGGACTATAAATTATATCTAAGAAGTAAAAGAAAAGATGACTGAAAGAGGACAGATTTGAGTATCTTTTATTTAATATATTATTTTATGGTGGTCAAAGCACTCTGCTCTGGTTGTCCCTGAGGAAGGTGTTAGAGCTGATGGCCTCCAGAGGTCCCTGCCAAGTGATTCTGTGGCTCTGCCATTTTGCTATCTCTGTTTTCCAAGAAGGAAGAGTAAACTGGGAGAACAAAAGGGAAAAGTAAGAAAATCTTTCCTCTCTTGTCCCATAGCATTAATTCCTTTTAACCTTTTTGATTGTTGCCAACCTTGTCAACATGACCAATCTCATCAGCTCAATAGATTTTTGTGGTCCAATATCAAGGCCAGATATATTTTCAAACATGATGTACATTAGCCAGTAATGTCTGTAGGGCCAGGTTTTTGGAGCCTTGGGCCCCAAGCTCTTTGGCTAGATCCATGAAAATATACAATGCTTTTTCTATCACTTGTGGCACTTTGTCACCCACTGTAATTTTCAGCCTCAAGTAAGGCACCTGAAGATGATATCCAGGGGCAGGTTCAGGCAGAATAGGCAGATATCAGTTGGAGCTGGCTAACAACTGATCTTTTCCCATCTCTTCTTACATGCCTGTGTCCTTCCCAGATCTCACAGAATACTTCTAGCCCTACTCCTCTCTGCTTCTGCTTGTGTTGCTAGATTTCATTTTGCATTTCTGAGGCAATTAAACAGTTTTGCCTGACAACTGGGAATCCTTGGACTGGCTTAGGTGAGAGACTGGATTCCAAAATGTATCTGTTGAGCTTCACAGCTGACACAAGGAGAATTACATATCCAGGGACAGGAGGAGGGACGGGGTACAACCCAGAACAGCACTATCATTTTCCACACAAATCAGTGTTAAAATTCATCCATAGATCCATGCTGTTCTCTGTCTGAGAGCACTCAGGAGTTAGAGAAAGCTTTACAAAAGGATTTGAGGTGGAACTCGAAGACTGAGGCTCCTCTAAGCAAGTTTTAGGTACTGAAGTGCAAGAGTGCAATTCTGAAAAGATTTGCTACTTTGTTCTCTAATCCAGGAGGTGCCCTAGCTTTTTCCTCATCTCCATGCTCCCAAATGTAAGGCACTTGAATCAATATATGGTAATGAAATATCACATCTGTCTGTTTACACATGATATATGAATGTGACTGATAAAGTCCTATTGCACATGTGCCAGCAGTTTATAGCACAGTTAGTCAGAGAAAAGTTGAAAATGAAGAAAAAGGAACATTTCCAGGCAGAGGAGGAAATGGGTGGGACAAGATGAACAAGAGAACAGGCCTAATCTGCCTCCCCCCACTAAAAACATGCATATATAAGTAGTGAAGGAGAGATTTCCCTTGCTCCCTGGCTGTCATTCATTCTCTGCTTTTCCCTGGGGACAACACAGCATCCCTCCAAGATGTGGGCAAAGGTACTGTCTTGTTTCTTTGTGATGTAAGATGAACTTGTCTATTTAAGTGTTTGTATCCTCACTTGTACATTTATCAGCGGCTGTGCATCATGCTGTGGGATACATGGCTCACCTGCTTTAAGTGTCCTGCCCTCCTTGAGGTGGCCTTAATGCTTTTGTGCAGAGCTCACTGAGAACCCAGCTGAAATAATCACAGAATCATTTCAATTGGAGGGGACCCTTAAAGGTCACCCAGTCCAACTCTCCTGAAGCAAACAGGGAAATCTACAGCTCCATCAGGTTGCTGTCCCATGGGGACAGACTCTTCAGCAGGGTCTGTGGCAAGAGACAAGGGGAAATGGTTTCAAACTAAAAGAAGGGAGATTTTGACTGGAGACAAGAAGTTTTTTTTTATAATAAGGGCGCTGGAACAGGTTACCCAGAGAGGTGGATGGATGCCCTGTCCCTGGAGACATTCAAAGTCAGGCTGGATGGGGTTCTGAGCAACTTGATGGAGCTGCAGGAGTCCAACCAGGAGAGTTGGACTAGATGACATTTCAAAGTCCCTTCCGACTCAAACAATTCTTTGATTCTGTGATCTTGCTTTGGAGAAAAGCTAGAACTGTGGCTTATCTGGAGTTCAGTGGAAGCAGGCAAGTGCAAAATAGAACTGCCAAGTCCCATCTCCTCCTGACTTCCAAGCTCAGCAAAACTTGGGATAGAGATTCTGCTTCTCGTGGAAGTTAAATCTTGCTGCCGTAAGTGCTAGTGGCTGCGCTGGCCTGAATTGCCACATTCCCGCTGATTTCAGTTGCAATGAAAAGGTGCTATGGAAAGCCAGGTGGCTTTTGTTTGTGTTTCTTTATATGTAATGCATTTATGTGTGTGTTTGTGTGTATACGCACAGATATATGTATATACATGCATCTTGCAAAGTTACATCACCTGCAGTACTCAGCCTCAGAGACTTACGGAAGAAGCAGCAGAAATAGAGAACAGATGAAGACATCAAAGAAAGTGAAACCAACATATAAATAACAACATAGCATTTCTGGGAATAAAAAAGGGAAGAATTCAGATTTTGCTGATGAAATTCATGTAAGCAGGGACAGGATGACAAAAATGGCCAGCTAACCCTAGACTGAAAGAAAAAAGAAAGAAGGACATTTAATATTTTTTTCTTCTCTCAGACGATTACAGAAAATTTTGCCAATGTGATTCATGGTTTGAATAAAAACCACCTGACAGATCTGGTCATTCAGAGAAGCAAGCGAATGATTCTGGATACCCTTGGAGTAGGACTTCTGGGTACCAGCACCGACATCTGCCAGAAAGTCAAACAGTACAGCAAGGTAAGAGGTTTAGTATTCATAGCACACACTAAGTTTTACCTATGAGAAGCAATGGAAAGGGGAACACTTTTCAATGGCAGTGAAATTCTTTTGGAGATGGAAATAGAGACATAGTGTTTTTCCCATTGGAAATAGGGAAACTATATTGCTGAAGTTACTTCTAACTTTGGATGGGCAAAGGTCTGTGTAATAAATAGTACGCTAAGACTGCCAGACACAAGCAGAACACAGTTGATTATGAATCCCTTCCTTTCACCTATGAGATTTCATTAAAAGCATCAGCATAGGAAACATTACTCAGCACTGGACTTTCCAGCATGAAGAATGGTTACATGGATGAAAAATTAGTATCAGGTTATTTCCAGTCCATGAAACATAACTGCTATCTGAGGTACATTGGTCATGTTTCTCCTACAGTCCTGTTCTGCTTAAATTAAAGGAATACTTGACCTCAAGGAGAACCAACATAGGTTCACATCAGTGAGGGGGAGTTTAGCTTTCTGTTTTACTGGTAATACCGGGCTAGCTGGACTCAGGCTACACAACACTCTGCCAGTAAGGATCCCTGCACTGATATCCCCATTCCCAATCTGTGCCAGTTAGCCCTTTTATTTAATTTCATAAAGAGCTCTTTGTTAGGTAAGAGATCTGCACATCAAAAAGACAGTAACAGTGCCATTTAAAGCATGGGGGTACTAGCATCAGGAGGCAATATTTCATTTACCCACAGTCTACTAAGACATTGAAAAACATAACCTTTACCTGGAAATCTTCCCCAGCAAAATGATGACAACTCTGAGGAAATGCCTCTGAGTGATGAGGAGGAACACTAATGGCCAGAGGTTTTGTGAAGGTACTGAATGGTTAGGTCCATAGTGTTGGCCTGCCCCCGGACAGGAGTCAGCAGGAAACAGACTTTCTTTTCACGCTTTCCAATAGAATCATATTTTTCCTATGACAGGAAATAGTTGAGTCTCAAGTGGGCAGGATTTGATCTCAGCGCACATTTATCCTTGGGTTCAGTATTCTGAATTAATTGATGTCAATTTGTTCCAGATCTACAGCTCAGATATATCCAGCACCATCTGGGGCCACTTGGATTTCCGACTGCCTCCTCTGTATGCAGCTTTTGTAAATGGAGTGGCTGTAAGGGATGCTCTTTTACTTGCTCTTAAATCACACTAATTGATTGCATTTTCACTCCAAAGAACAGAATGCTCCTAAAAACTTAGTTTACTTTTTTTCTTGTTCCTGAAGCCTCCTACAAAACTTCATTACTCTGTTCTCCTGATGTGCTTCAACTTTCTTCCTAATTTAGATCAGGCTGCATCCCTTTAATCTGAGACTTGGAACTGATTTTATAGGTCAGAACTCTACAGCTTCTTGCAGGATGGCTACAGCAACTGCGTAACAAAGAGATTTCACCAGATTTTGCTCCAGCTGCCTAAGTACAGTTGCAGGAAAACACAGATACAGACATACACATATATACATACACACAGCTGGCATCAGGATTCTTCAAGGCAGGAATTGTGTTTTCCTCTGCTTATCCAGAAGGCATTCCTCAGCAGCCTGATGCAGAGTTTGACAGAAGTGTGTATGCCCAGCATTACAGGACAAGATCTGAGCACAGGGGAGCACTGACACTTTTCCAGCTCGCACATTTCTGAAGGAAGACATGAGTGCATAGATGTGAAAGTTCAGATTTTGAGGTGTTATTAAAAATACTGTTCCTGATGCTCTCTATTCCTTGGGACTTCTGGTAATGCCTAAAGCTGGGCTCTGGGTATGGGAAAGAGAAGGCATCACCACATACTCATAAGGTCTAGGCAGCTCTTTCCAGTTTTAAGACCATAGCTTTCTTGGACTTAGGCTGCTATAGTTTTAAGGGTGTAAGCCCCAGTACCAGCATCAGTTGTAGAGCAGGGGAAGTCATTTAATCATGTTTATATACTGTTATGAGGGAAGTGAAAACTCACCACTGGACCCAGAACTGCTGCTTTTATTGTACCATGTAATTAAAGTCGCAAAAAGCACATTGTAGAAAAGAAGAATCATTGCCAAACTGATTTTAAACCAGTGCAAGTAGAGTTACAATTACACACCATTGAGACAAGCTTTATATTGTATTTACATGTCATGTTGAGTGATAATGGGAGCAAAGGACTTAGAAGAAAGACCTTTTAAGTTTTGCTTTCTTAGATTTTAAGGAAAATCTAGTTCTTCAGCCTTTTTTACACCAGCTACAGTACTTTCATTTGACTGAACCAATCTTGCCCAGTCAGAGTTTAATTCTAATGACAAAGCATGGCTTCTCTTTTTGTTAGGTGCACTCCATGGATTTTGATGACACATGGCATCCTGCCACGCACCCATCTGGGGCTGTGCTCCCTGCTGTGATGGCTCTCTCTGAGGCCTTTCCTCAGAATAAAAAAATCTCAGGTCTTGACCTGCTCTTAGCTTTCAATGTGGGAATTGAGGTGCAAGGCAGGTTGTTACGCTTTTCCAGTGAAGCCAGGAATATTCCCAAAAGGTATGTAAAAATGCTTCTAGTTGTAAGTTGAGTGGAAATGTTAGTATTTTTAATTAAATGCCAGTTAAAATACAAATGGCATGGGTAATTGTATTTTCTGTTCTTTGTCCAGCAATTTAGGAAAACTTCAAGTGAATCTTAAATATAAATATGTTGATTCCACACTGCTTGGTGAATAGATTTCTTTTTAAGAGCATCTATCAGTTTACAAGAAAGTGTTGATGATCTCTCTATTAATTAGATCAACAGCAAAAGGGCAACACTGAACAGCACAGGTCTCAAGCTCTTGAGGACAAGGACAACCACACCTTCCTTGCTCGTTCTCAGCATAATGGAGTCAACTGTACTGAGTTCAGAACAGAGCCAGAGGACACAGGGTGTGTTTAGGAAATAACTCATGAGGCACAGGATGGACTAGATGTCTTCTTGCTGTCTTGTGCATTTTCCTTCTGCTGGTTTTGCAAAACTAGTTCAGAATAACAAAACGTGCATCCTCCAGTATGTATAATTCTCAGACAATTAAAAACTGTAACACTTTTGCCATTATTGTGTTCTGTATGCCTTGAATGATAAGCAATTCTAGTTTTTCAGTTGCTTTCTGGGGAGGCCTCTATTAAAACAGGTGTTATTCCAGTTTAACTTGTTCCTGGAGAAAAGCAAAAATTTCTTCCATTAGGACTACGGGTAAAATTTGAATGCATGTTTCTTACAGTCCAATCCACAGCAGTAAAGGGAAATTGAAGCTTGAATGTGTAATGAATCTGAGTAACTTTCTGAACTATAGTAATGAAGAGATTTTGTTTTTTCAGGTTTCACCCACCAACAGTAGTTGGTCCAATGGGGAGTGCAGCAGCTTGTGCAAAACTGCTAGCTCTTAACCAAATGAAATGTAAAAACTCCTTGGCTATTGCTGCTTCCTATGCCGGTGCCCCACTAGCTAACGCAGCAACTCAAACGAAGCCCGTGCACATCGGCAATGCTGCCAAGCACGGACTGGAAGCGGCTTGCTTAGCATCACAGGGTCTTCAAGGAAACAATCAGATCTTGGACATTGAGTCAGGGATAGGTGCCTTTTATACAGATTACAACCCACAGACTCTGCCAACTTTGCAATCATATCCCTGGCTGTTGGACCAGCAAGATGTGGCCATCAAATGCTTTCCTGCTCATCTTGGAACACACTGGGTGGCTGATGCAGCATCTTCTGTAAGGAGGAAGCTTGTTGAAAACAGTGACATATTGCTTATCCTTGATAAAATTGAGAAAGTTATTGTAAAAGTCCCAGAGGTCAAATATGTGAACAGACCCAGCCCTAATTCAGAACATGAAGCTCGACACTCCTTTCAGTTTGTTGCCTGCTCTGCTTTGCTGGATGGCAGCATGTCCATCCAGTCCTTTGCCAGTGAGAACATTCACCGACCAGCTTTACAGGAGCTCCTCTGCAAAACACAGCTAGAGCACCCTTCTGATAACAAACCCAGCTTTGAGAGTCTTTATTGCGAAGTGACTGTTGTGCTTCGGGATGGCAACGTGATTAGTGACCGCTGCAACACGTTCTATGGACACTGGAGGAAACCTCTGACAGAGCAAGATATGGAGAAAAAATTTCGGTCCAACGCTTCTGAAGTCCTTCCTGCAGAAGCCATAGAAGGCATTATAGAGACTGTGTACAATCTGGAAAAAGTAGAGGACTGTTCTGTATTAAACATGTTTTTGTCAGGACAGTCAGCTAGAGTACTTCCAGAGAAGCTGCACTTCAAACATTCCAACTCATAAAGCAAACAAAATTCAGGAAAAGGTCTTATTTAATGACCAAAGCACCAAGTAAATAATTTAGAGATAGCATGCATAGTTCAGTCAGAAGAGTTGAAGATTACTTCAGCTATCTTTATATGCTTATACTGCTAAGGTAGAGCAACGCCAGCATGCTGCACAAAAAAAATTCCTTCCTCTTCTGACAAAAATGTCTGCATGTTCTGCTTCTACTTAATCACTTCATGAAGGAAATTTAAATTCGTGGAAATGCTGCTGTGAGAAACAAGACTATGAAGACAGAAAATAGAAGCCTTTACATACGTATTGCTGCACATTTAGTTATACAGCCTTCTTAAAGAGGCCACCTGCTATGCCACAGCTTTGGTGTGTGCGCTAAAAGAAATAGCACTTAAACACTCCAAAGACATCAGGGTTCACTGTGGAGACTGGCATTCTGGAACTAGGGTGCAGAGCAAGAGGGACAACTCCTAGACCTAAAAGCATTATTTCCCAGCCCCATCTTCTTGGTGCTTCATAGTATGCGTTTATTACTGCCATGTTCCCACTTCAATTACAAGGCGCTGGCTTAGGAAGAAATTCAGCCCCATTTTCCCCAACAGCAGCCAAAGAGATGACCAGACAGCTGAGTTTGCTGTTTACGACAGTGCTGTCTTTCTGGCTTTCATAACCATTCCACACTGATCAGGATGCCATGTTCAGATTACTGCAGACATTGCAAAGCATGGGCTACAGTACATTAGTTACTATAGACTGTGAGCTGTATGTATCAGAACACTTCATGTGCTGAGACCACCAAGTGTCCTTAGGAACTGTCACCTTGACAACCAAACCCGTTCCCTCAAGTCTTGCCCTTCGTCTTAAAATGTATAAAATGTATGTACAAAAACTGAAATCACAAAATAAAACTGATTTTAGTAAGTGAACCCTGAATTATTTATTATTAATTATTTTCCACATGGAAAGTATTAATCTGTACTTAAGCCTCTGTCTCTTGCTTTATAAAGTTAAGTTGTTTTTTGATAAACTTTTTTCTTTATCCCTTTTGATTAGAAAGCAAAACTGAATTACTGATCTATGCTGAAGATATACATTGAGACACACAGACATTTCTAGCCATGTAATTTATACCTGGGTAATGTCAAATATAAGTTACTGACAATGAGTGTTGTGATTAAACCCCACTGGATGAGGAAAGTGCCTATATTACCTTATCACAACTGAATACATTTGGATCCATAAAAATAAAATAATAAACACAGTTCCAATGCATGTTTTGTATGTTAAAGGTAAAACAAATAGGACAAATTTGGCAGTAACTATTTAATAAATTTCAGGTTCAGAAAGAAAAACACCAAGAACTGTGAAGTTTGATAGCTGCATTATTTTATTAATACCATCAAAAGTAGCTAAATGTTTATGCTTTGCTAAATTGATTTCCTCACAGAAGTCTGTATGCTCCCCATCAGGCAAGTTTCAGGACTTCCTCTACCATTGTTCCAATTCCATCAAAGATCTCATGCAGAGGAGCCTTGCACATGAACGCACAGGTAGTAACTATTTTATTGGCTTTATCCACGTGGGATTCACTGACATCTTTGCAAATGTGCTTACATCCAAGCTCTGTTATTGCAGATGCAGTTTCACTATCAGGATATCTGTAAACGAAAAAGATTGTAATAACCATAAAAAGAGATGATACAGCCATAAAATTGTGCCAGTAACTTGAATGAGAAAACAACAAGAATATTTAAGTGGTTTTACAACTGATCATGACAAGGGACTAAAACAGTCTTCCACTGTCAGATCATCTCTATTTCCCACAGCAACTGATCCAGTATCTTTGAAAACAGCTCAGATGCAGTCATGGCATGCCACAAGGTACAACTCTGTTTAACAGTCTTTCAGTGTGTTTATAATGTGATATCAAGTGCAGCAATAACTGATCCACAATATTTTTCTGAGATGCTAGATGAACTTGCAGACACATTAGACCTTATCCAGCACCTCCATATAAAGTCTTCCACTGAAATTCTGCAGTGAGTTTGATTTTCTGGAGACAAGGCAGGAACAGGGGGATAAAACTTATCACTGCTGATAAAATTTCTGAGTGGAATTTCTTATCAGGAGTTACCAGTCTTTAAAGCAACACCAACTTCTGCCATGGTTCTCACTTGTTTCTCCTGAACTGCCACCAGAAAAACTTCGCTGAAAATCCCCAAGCAGACAAAATCCCACAGGCACAGTTTAAGTGGCCACTCCAATTATCAAGTGTTTGAATGCCACCTGAACAGATATCTATCCTTCGCTTGCACATTTGTAAAGTGAATCACAGTCTTTGGAGGTATTCAAGCGAGATACAGAATTTACTTTAATATGAACTACAACAAATGCAGCAAAAGGTAGAGGAGGAAGAAAAAAGATCCCTCTGTTCAGCCAATTTCAGAACTGACAAACAATACCTGCAGCAACTCATTAGCACCCACACTGAACAGTAAAGTCTGTGCAGGAACCTGAGCTCTCGGTGGCTCGCGGACAGATGGTTTAAGCAAAAGATAGGGTTCTATTTTTCGTATTTTCTTTAATTGTAGTGTGGATGTTGCTATCATAGGGAAAAATTACAAACCAACGTATTTCTGAATTCAGGGATGAACAGTCCTGACTCTGTAGAGCATAAGAAATGCACCTGCCATAACAGGTGCATCAACAATTGCTACACAAGTGGAAGTTTAAAATGAGCAAAATGCCACTAAGAAATAATTATTTAAGAGCTACTGACTCCAGAAGTTCTCAGCCCTTTGCACAGAAGACTGGCCACTTTCTAATCTTAATTCCCAGGCAAATTAATTCCATCTGTTTCCTTCTTACCTTCCATCTACATTTTTATCTTGGCCGACTGTGACCTCACAACCAGGAAAGACTTTAGCTGCCAGGACAGGTGATATACAGCACAACCCGATGGGCTTTTTAGCACTGTGGAAAGCTTGGAGAGTGGAGTTCACGTGTTCGTTGATGGTGCAGTTTTTGCCATCTACAGCCCAGGAACACAGGTTCTTTGCCACACCAAATCCACCTCGAAACAAACACACACTGAAATGCAAGGCACTGCTAAAAGCCATTAAATTCAACACCAGAAAGATTTCTCCTTTTTTGTAATGTTATCAAAGCATACATAGGACCTTCAAATTCCCATACTAAAAGATCTTAGGTATATGAAACATAACGGGTTTATAATTTTAGAAGTTTATCTGCACAAAGTACATTCACCATGTACTTTCCACAGGCCAGAAAGCTTCATATTTCTGCAGTGAGAAACAGAGAAACCACACATCACAGATTTGTTTGCTAGACACTGGAAAAACTGGACCGTCCGAGGCGCACTCCTCAATGACCAAGAGAGGGATCAGAGGAAAGACCAACAGTGGTTTATTGTTGGCAAGCACAGAATGCAGAATTAATGCACACAGTGGTTTGCCCTTCCACAGTAATTTAAGTCACAAGGTTTAGCTCAGTACTTAGACAGTTACAGGAGACCTTCCCATCTCTAGAATTCTCCCAGAAGTTAAAGAAAATAAAACAAAGTTAACACAATAAGAACAAAACAGATCATTCATAAAAAAAGTATTTTTAATGTGTGATATTCTGAAACATGACACTTGTGAACAATAATTTCCTATTAAAAATAACGTTTCTGCAAGTTAGTTACAACAAACCATTACTTGCATTTAGCCATCATTTAGCTGTACAGACTACATTTTGAAGCACAAACTTGCTAGATTGCAGCACAATTTGCTAGATATAGAGCTATCAGAATAATCACACAAAGGGTAGCCATCCATTATATTTGGTTCCTTATGCATAACATGCACATCATCAACTTTCCTACAACAAACAAACACAGTTTTCCAGGAAAATTTCAAGGGACAACAGGAAGAAGTTTTGCATTTTTAATATTTGTGTTTTCCCTCCATCCCCTTGTCCTCTTCTGAATGTTATCTGGAATCTCTGAAGTGAGGTTTTAATTTTCAAACTTAATAGCACTTATCTGCCTGTAACAGTTATTGCTGCAACTCCCCAACTCCCCTGAGCCTAGGTTATAATAGAGCATGAAATTAATGTGGAAAATATTTGCTAGCCTCTACTCCCAGTTCTCTACTCCTGATGTCACTGATCCATTATAGCCGGGGAAGTGACTCCCCAGCGCTATCCACGCACTCCCTCTGCCGGCCTCACTACAGAAGGCAGTGTAACTATTTCAGTCAGAACTTAGGCACAGTTGTGAAGACAGCATTTAAGAAAGTTATGGATATTCTGGAAAGTGATTTTGAGCAAGTCAATTTCCTCATTATGCTTTAGTTTCTTCATTCCTTACTTCCCACCTCAAGTTCTCATCTACAAGAAAGTAGCAAAGGCTTGACAATTTTCAGAAATAAGGAACAGTGTGATGTATGAAGAACACTGTGGCATTTTAAATTAATGAACTGTATCACAGAATCATAGAATATGCTGAGTTGGAAAAGACCCATAAAGATCTCCAAGTCCAAGTCCATCTCCAAGATGACATATCAGCCCATGAGCGCTTGCTAACATACCTTCTTGTCGTCAAAAATACAAAGACAAAACCCACATAACTCTCAAATTCAAGAGTATGATTTATTAAATTATGAATTTAATTAACTCTTTTCTAAGTTCTCTGCAATTGAAGAATCACAAATTATTTTATTATAAATGCACTTACCGGGGAAAATAACTGCATCAAATTCACCTACTTTCAGCTCAGCCAAATCCTGGATGTTTCCCCTTGCCAGCCTGGCACTTTCAACTAACACATTTCTCTTCTCATCTGCTGGGCTTCCTTTTAGATGATTGACAACATCCCTTTGCTCAATATTGGGGGCAAATATCTTCACCTGGAATAAAGAAATGAAGCAATTCTGTGTGTGTAAACAGAACTCTTAACATTGAGACAACAAATGTCACTTAATGAAACGATCTTTCATTTCAAAAGCCCCTTATCATGATGCATGGATTTCACAGGGTGGATCTGTTGCATTAAGTAAATGAAGACTCACATGTTTATCCACACTGAGTGGATCATCTGAGCCATTCTCCCCATCCCATTCCTAAAGCTTTTTATAGGGAGTGCACTCTTTGGCCAACACTACTCATTTTGGTGGGGATTGCAAGTAACCTAAAGGACTAAGACAGCACTGTGATTGGTACCACAAGCCTGGATGCACAGCAGAGCCTACAGGAAGGCTGCTCCTAGCATTTATGGGTTCAGAGTACTAAGGCAGATGTAAAAATAAAAAAGTTTAGTAGAGAAAGATGCAAACTTTACAAGCATTTCTAACACAGACATGACTCACTTTCCTAGTAGCGGGAAGTAAAAAACAAAACATGGCAGCACACACGTTGATTAGGTACCAAATTGAAAAACCTCATTAAAAACACAGAGGAAGGCTGACATAGGGGCTGTTCTCACATGTGTTTTGATACTTGCTTTGCAGACATCTCAGTGCTGATGATGTTGTCAATTTCAGGGAGGTGAAGTCGTGCTGAACACGGGGCTTTGTGTGCTCGCAACGGCAGACTGTGGCCGTGGCTCCTCGCAGACAGACAGCCACGTCTTGCTGTCACGAGAAGCCACAGACAGGTCCACTGCGCCGCGCTACATCCCGCTCCCAACTTCTCAGAGGGCTCTGAGCTACCTAAAAAGTACCAAAAGCCATTCGAAAACCGAACCCCGACCTGGGGGCGGCTACGGACTACCCCCACCTCCATGCCCACGTCTCCCCGCCAAGGAGGGCCCGCCCCAGGCACCGCTCGCCCGCAGCCGCCTGAGGCGGAAAGGGC